GTGCGAGAGGCTTGCAAGGCGACGTCGTGCCACCCGTGTACTTCACAAGGCACTGGAATATGTGTAGGTGTGTCAGGTGTGTCAGCCGTGCGGAGTGGCATTTCGATATCGTTGAGGACCCGATGTTCGTTTTGCCGTGGGGTCAATGTCTGCCACCGAAGAGTCAGTGGTGTTTAAGGCGCCTGAACGTATCGTACCAAAGCGAGTATGCCACAGAGGTTGGTTAGCACGTTATCTGTGCGCGCAGTATATGCGGTTTGCACCCTTTGTGCACCTGCAGTATTCGTCATCTACTGTTACTCCAGCAGCATGTTGAACGCCGCTGCCGCTAGTATCGGTTCGTCGCGGTGACTCAAGGACGCGGCGCAGCTCGTTCCAGAGGTGCAGTGTATCACGGAGAGGAAAACGTAGCTTATTCTGCATCCTAGGTATCGTTTGCGGAGTTGTGGGTAATTGATGCGGTGCGGATGTTTGGTAATCTGGGGACGTCATGCAACAGGCAGTATGTTCAACGTCTGGGCTGCTTATGCTTGCAGCGTCTTAGATGCATGAAAAAGAGGATTCGCATTTCAGTCAGTTCATCTGAGCTTTGGCATGCCGTTTGGCGTTGGTTTTTGCAGAGTGGGTGTGAGTAGGCAGATGTGCATGCACATGTTCCGCTATGATCGTTTGCACTTGTTGTCGTAACACAGGACAGCCTCTGGGTATATTACTGAAGGTCGCCGACCTTTGGGCTCCAAGGACCTGGCAGCGAAGTAAAAGAAGTAATGCAGACCGGAGTGGTCGATTCTTTTCTGCCAGGACGTACGCTGGGTACTTAAGTATTGAACATCCGGAGTGATATGCGCTCAACAATTTAGATGTTTTTTTCTTACGGGGGAGAGAGATGCTGGGTTGAGTAGAATTGTCTTCACCTCAGAGGAGCAGGTCTTGCGCGGCGTACCAAGGCAGTCAAACGGACGAAGAGTGCCCGAGCTCTGTGGGTGTTCAGGATTTCTTTTTAGCAGTCAATAGGTGTGACCAACGCATATTGGCAGGCTGGTAGGGCCAGAGGCGCCTCCTGATGTAGGCACGGTGACAAGCACGGATGCCTGCACACCGCAGTGGTCTAACGAAGCGGTGAGAATGGCTCTTCTCCATGCAGTTGACTACAGCTAGTCATGTGGATGGCATTTCTGTTTCTTTGCTTTAAATTTCGTATGATTCTCATTATTCGCAGATGCGCAAATACTACGTTGGGCAAAACATCTGTGGAAGTGACTGACTGCGTCAAGCAATAGATTGTGCGGTCGATGCCTTGGTTTCGGGACAGAACAGGAATGAAAATGCAGATCAGGCGGGATAATGGACGCTCCGGCAAAGGGGCAATAATGTGCCTAGCCTACTGAGCAAGAATGAACTACAGCTGCAGGCGGTAGGGCGAGTTGCTTTGCAGGCTGTACGGTTGACATGCTCGAACAAAATGAGCTGCTGGGCTAGTTGAACGTGTTGGACATTTACTCCGCTGCGCTCGACTCGAGTCTTGAACTGAGTTGGTCATGCAACAAGGTACGCACGTGGGATAATTATTTCTGTGGGCTGATGCGTTTGTCGTGTGCACAGGAAGTGTGTTGCGAAGCCACACGACTGGTGTGCATGGCGGGGATATGCACGGTGACGGTGGGGCAGCTTCATGCGTTGAAGGCCGCGGCCGGGTCCTGCCCCCCCAATCTGGCAGGTTAGTACGGCAACTGAGAGTCCCCGGTACACTTCAGATGTCACTGGAGTATGACTAGGTGTGTCAGGTGTGTCGACTGCGCGCAGGGGGACTTTGATATCGATGAGGACCCGATGTTCGTTTTGCTGTGGGGTCAATGTCGGCAAGCGAACAGTCAGTGGTGGTTTCGACGCTTGAATGTATCGTACCCAAGCAAGTATGCCACAGAGGTTGGTTAGCACGTTATCTGCGCGCGGCGTACATGTGGTTTGCACCCTTGGTGCACCTGCAGAGTTCGTCACCTACTGTCACTCTAGCAACATGAACGCCGGTGCCGCTAGTGTCGGTTCGTCGCGATCACTCAAGAGCCTGGTGCGGCTCGTTCTATAGGTGGCGTTTGTTACGAAGAAGAAAGCCTAGCTTATTCTGCGTTCTAACGTTTGTTTGTAGAGTCGCGGGTAATTGATGCGGTGCTGGTGTTTGGTAATCTTGGGATGCCGTGCGACAGATGGTATGGTCAAGATCTAGGCTGTTCATCCCTGCAGCGTCCTAGCTGTCGCGACAAGAATAATTAGCACTTGAGTCGGTGCTTTTGCGTTTTGGCGTGCCTTTCGGCATTGGCTTGTGCAGTGTGCGTGTGTTCAGGCACCTACGCAGCGAGACGTCGCAGGCTATTCGTTTTCGCGAGTTGTCACTACGCAACCGCCACGGAGTTTTAGGCCAACACCTCTTCACCTTCTGAAATAAACTGAGGGGCAGATGTCTGTCAAGAGGGTATTTTCCGAATAGGAGTGATGGGTTCTTTTCCAACAGCAAGTACGCTGGATGCGTGAATAACGAGTCCCTGTGTAATATTCCTCCAACAATTTAGTCGGAAGTCGCAAGCACAAGAGAGAGCGTAGTTGGGGTTGAAAGCAATTGGCATCACCTGTGAGCCGAGAAGGCCTTCTGCGGCCTACCAACGTGTTCTAAAGCAAAAGGAACGTCGGGGCGACGCGGGGTTTGGGGCTTCTTTTTCAACAGTCGGTACGTGTGCCCGACCCGCCATTCGCAACGGTTT